GATAATATATTCATTGATAACTCAAAATTAAGAGACTATACTGTAGGACCCTTTATAAATGGCTTATCCGATCATGATGCTCAACTCATAGAAATAAATAATATTGACTTTCAGCCCAGTAATCAACAATATAAAACAGTAAGGAAAATCAACAAGCATACGATGGCAGATTTTGTCACAAAATTAAGTAATGAATCGTGGGACAATGTATTTGACAGCAATAATATTGATTCTAAATTTAATTGCTTTCTGAACACATACTTGAGGATCTTTTATTCAAGCTTTCCCTTAAAAATAGTCAAAAATGAAAATAAAAACAAATCCACCTGGATAACAATTGGAATAAAAACTTCATGTAAACACAAAAGACAACTATATTTGGCCAGTAGGGACAGTAATGATCCAAGACTAAAAAGTCACTACAAAATGTACTGTAAAATTTTGTCAAAAGTCATTAAAGAAGCCAAACAGAATAACTATAACAGCCAAATTCTAAAATCAAACAATAAAATTAAAACCACCTGGGATATTGTGAAAGTTGAATCAGGAAAGAAATCTGTTAATGAAGACGTACAAAGTTTGAATATTGAAGGGAAGTCCACTAACAATCCACAAGCTATCGCAAGTGCATTTAATGAATATTTCCTTTCATTAGCTGAGAAAACATATTCCAATAATAATAATAATAATAATAATAATAATAATAATAATAATAATAATAATCCAATATACTATCTGTCTCGTGCCTTTAACAATTCATTTCCAAATATCAATCTCAAATTCTCAACAAGGAAGGAAATTGAAAACATTATTAAATCCCTTAAGCCCAAAAATTCACATGGATATGATGAAATCTCTACCAAATTACTTAAAGCAAGCTCTGTTTACATCAGTTCACCCTTGAATCATCTATGTAATAAATCTTTATCATCAGGTACTTTTCCTCAACGCTTAAAATACGCTGTAATGAAACCACTTTTTAAAAAAGGAGAGAGAAAATGCATCTCTAATTACAGACCAATATCCATATTGACTTCATTCTCAAAAGTCTTTGAAAAAGTTATGTATAATAGACTACTTGAACACTTAAATTCTAACAACATATTAGTCAAAGAGCAATTTGGATTTAGGAAAGACCTAACAACAGAAAAAGCAACCTATGAACTAACTAACGATATTTTAAGTGCTCTCAATGACAGATTAATTGTGGGAGGGATTTTCTGTGATCTAGCAAAAGCTTTCGATTGTGTTAATCATGATATCTTACTATCGAAATTAAATTTCTATGGAATAACTGGCAAAGCTAATGAATGGATCAAATCATACCTCAAAAACAGGTATCAAAGAGTTGAAATAAATAATAAAAACTCCAGTCATAATGCATTTTCAAACTGGGGAATTATAAAGCACGGTGTTCCACAAGGATCAATTTTAGGTCCCTTACTTTTTCTTCTCTACATAAATGATCTATCTAAAACCATCAACAATAAATCTAAACCAATTCTATATGCAGATGACACTAGTATAATATTTAAGAACTCTAAATTTGAAAACTTTAAAAATGACATAAATATTGTATTTGAAGCCTTAAACAGATGGTTCGAAGCCAATTTACTCTCATTAAATTTTGATAAAACCCATTACATATCATTCACAACTAAAAACAACCACCAAATTGATCTGGACATCAGTTATGCCAACAAATTAATCTGTAAAGTACTTGATACAAAATTCCTTGGAATACATGTAGACAGTACACTGTCTTGGAAAATACATATTGAACAAATTATACCTAAATTAAATGCAGCTTGCTATGCGATGAGATCAATTAAGCCTTTTATGTCACAGGAAACATTGAAGATGGTTTACCATGCCTACTTTCATTCTATTATGAACTATGGATTAATATTTTGGGGGAACTCTTCACATAGTGTAATAATTTTTAAAATACAAAAGAATATAATTAGAATCATTACAGGATGTAGAAGTAGAGATTCATGTAGAGAATTATTTAAGAAATTAAAAATTCTACCTCTTCAATCGCAATACATATTATCACTTCTCTTATTTGTTGTTTACAACAAATATAAAGTCAAATTAAATTCTGATGTCTATAACATGAATACTAGACAAAAATATAACTTCCACCTACCCTCATCAACTTTATCAGTATATCAAAAAGGAGTCTACTTTACTGGCATAAAAGTGTTCAACAATCTGCCACAAAGTATTAAAAACTTGGGCAATGATACTAAAAAGTTTAAATCAGAGTTAAAGAATTATCTACATGCTCATTCCTTCTACTCTTTAGATGAATACTTCAATGTAAATAGAGAATGATGTAAAATTAAGTTATATTAATTTTTAAGCTAAAATTGCCTGTACTTATGTATGTAACCTTTTGACTACCTGCTTAGGATTTATAGAATGTAAATAAATTCAATTCAATTCAATAAAGAGTAAGGGCCCCAACACCGATCCCTGAGGCACACCACATCCAACAATTTCCCAGTTAGAATAACATTTCTTATTTATATAATTTAATTCCACTTTTGCCTCCTATATTGGAGGTAAGATTTAAACCATTGCAATAATACACCGTGCACTCCATAGTATTGCAGTTTCATTAATAGAAGATCATGATTAACGCAGGCAGAGGCCTTCGCTATGTCACAAAATATACCAGTTACATACTCTTTTTCTATTCCAGGCTGTAAATATTACATTGGTTAATTTAAACATTGCATCTTCGGTTGCTAATCCCTTTTGGAATCCATCCTGCTCTGAAAGTAATATTTTATGTTTTACGAAATGATCATTGAGTCTTCTAAATATTGCTGTTTCAAAAAACTTGAGTTACTATAGATATTGGCCTGTAGTTACTTATAACAGACTTTTCCCCTTTTTTGTATGCTGGCTTAATAATTGCATATTTTAATCTTTCTGGATATAGACCCATGGTTAATGACTTATTAATTACATAAGTTAGAGGTTTACTGATTTGTTGTCTGCACAGTTTTATAATTTTATTTGTTACACCATCATACCCTGAAGAGTTTTTTTATTTTAATTTGCTAATTATACTAATTATTTCCTCTTCTGCAACTAAATTAAGATTCATAGATGAAATACCATTTGAGAAATGGGAATGCAAGTATGACATTGCAGTATAAATATTAGTTTCCTTAATATTAAGAATTTCTGTTATTATTGTGAAATACGTATTTATTAAAACTATGAGCTGCTGCTTCAGTATTTATTTTTTTATTATTATTTTGAAAAGTCTGTGGTAGACCTTCTTTATTCTGATTGTTAGTCTTACCTGTTTCAGTGTTGATAATGTTTCAGGTAGTTTATATTTTGTTTTCAGCTGATGTGATTAACTGATTATAATATTTCCTTTTAGCTTCTCTTATTACTCTTCTTAATATCATGCTGTAGGATTTATAGTATGACTTAAACAGATAGTTGTAATTGTTTCAACAGAGAATGAATAAGGATTCCTTCTGTCTACAGGATGTATGTATACCTGCTGTTATCCAGCCATTATCCTTGAGTTTATTTCTTACATTTTGCTTTGGAAAGCATGATTCATATACAAGTAAATACTTATTTAAAAATGAGTTGAATATTTCGTTTACATCATTAAGTTTGTATATATTTTACCATTATTCATTAGATAGTTTATTAAGAAACTGAGCAATTGGATTCATTTTCTAATCTTCTTGTGATTCCCTGCACTTCTTTATTCTCCAGGAAAATGATATTTTTTAGTACTAGACACTGAGCATCATGATCAGATAGTCCATTACTGATCGAGGTTACTTCATATGAATTTATTCTTGCCTTATCTATAAAAATATTATCAACTGCAGAGCTTTTGGTCTCAGTTATTCTAGTTGGGAACTGTACTGTATGAAATATATTATATGATTGCAACAGAGCTAATGGCTGTGTTTTACGTGTTGACTCTAATAAAAAAATTACGTTAAAATCACCACATACTGTAAATTCAATTTTTGGTTTTTAGAGTAATTTGAGTACTTTATCCAATTTATTTATAAAGTACTCAAAATTCCCACAAGGTGACTTATAACTAAGACTGCAGAGAGAATTTTGTACTTACAGGGATACTAATCATTCTGACCTGGAGGAGGTGCATGCAGAGAGAGAAGAGGATTACACACATTCAGGATATATCTGCTTGTGGGAAGACTCCCACACCCATCAACAATCACAGAAATAAGCAAAAGTCAGAATTCTAGTACCAGTGAACTATGGTGTGGGCAGCTATTATGTACAGCTTCTTTGATTTAACCACTAACACAACAAGCTTGAGTGACTTGTGAGCGTTTCAGTGGTAGCATTAAGCATGAGCCTCTTGCAATGTTGAGATTGCTGTTTTTGCTACAGGCTTCAGTGATCTGAAAGAGCGCATTGCCATGAGAGTGGTGTGGTGTATCCACAAGAATGATAATTATGTCTTTTGTGCAGGGTGGTGAGATATCCCCTCCAAATCATTTCATCATGAAACGGGAAGCTGACATGGGTGAATGCACTACTTCATGGAGATTCAACCAGGAAACAGATGAATGCCACGCTGCTACCGTGAGGACGTGGAATCCCAGTTGCTAAGATGGGAGAGACTTGGTTACAAAGCTGTGATTGATGTATGTCTTTCCTTGCCAAAACAGAAACTCTAGCGGCAAAGCAAAGATGCATTCATGCTCATTTTGGGACATGCCAGGCTACTTCTAGAACAAGTAAACACAGGCATACTAGACAGTTTCAACAGGATGGTTCAATTATGGAATGGCAATGTCCTCATGCTGCAAGTGTCTACTAGCTAGAATCCTCAGACTGAGTGGAAATACAACAAAACCTGATAAAATCAAGAAAGATAAAATAGAAGGCTTCAAGATGATACATTTCCATTCAAAATGGATAGTTCAGCTCCAAGGGTTTCTTGGTAGAATGAAATCACATATGAGTTCACATACCTTGTCACAATGCTTGCGAAACCCATTAATAGTGCGAAATGGCAAACCACAACCTTTCTCCTCACAATGGTAAAGTGGGCTAGAGCAGTGTGTATTCAAATGCCGTTTCATATCATAGGATGTCTTAGATCTGAAACACAATATACATAAACAAATTACCATACTAATTCTTTTCTCTGATCAATTCTGGAAACCAGGGGTTCTGTTCAACTTCAATAAGTTTTTACAAGTATCTCATTAAATAATTGTGAAACCAAAATGGTTACCAAGAAGAGAATCTGGAACAAAATTACATGACTCACTTCTTGCTATTAATATTTTTCCAGATTCAGTTAACCTTTCTGAAGGGTTTTATAAAATGTAATTTATAAAATGTAAATGCAGCAACTTCATAAATAAATATTATATTTTAGCATTATATTGCATGTGTGAAATTTCTTTATTTTCTTTCATCACCACAATAAAAATAAGGATACACCAAATACTGGTCATTGTTTACAGCATGGTTCAGCTCATTCGGCCATCAGCTTCACAACTACATACAAGACACAAAACTGCTCCCAAATACGAGGAAAATGAGTGTGGAGAAAAATGCACTCACATACCCATAAGCCAGAAAATACACACTACAACAACACAAGGCAGGGAAAACCCCCAAAGAAATACACCTGTAGAAGAGCTACATATGACTACTACAACAGATAAAACATGAGAAAACCTTTTATAAACATTCAATTTTTAACTTTAATGATTTAACATTTCAATTATTAAAGGCAAACACACCTATTTATGTATAACGATATTACATATAACAAGAAAAACCAGTATTCCAATATTGTGCTGTGGCCTATACACGCACGCGGCCTATACATGCGTAAATACGGTACTAGGAGATCAATATCGCTGTATGTAAATAAGTTAAATACCTGATGATGACTCAATAAGACGAAACATGTTGTAAAATCAAAGAATGTAAAATGTATCCATATTTCTTAGTGTGATGACAGAACAAGTGAAGAAAATACTTCATAAAGAATATCTTAAACGTAAACTTTAAGCAGGAACATTACCAACAGTTCAACACAGTTTAGATGTGAGGAGAAATAACTGACAGTGAGATGAGGCACACAGTTTGTTTTACAGGGAAAGTTAAAGTGCTGATCATGTGCTCCTCATTTTCCCATCAAAGGAACACAACAGAATGCCTTAATCAAAGTGACAGTCTGTTCTTAACTTGTGTGAAGGGCCTGTTATGTGTGACTTCCAGTTTTTTAAAACTATTTCAGCGTCCTATATTGTGTAGTGTCAAATGAGATCTCTACCTGATCATAAACAGTGAATTAGAAATGGTTACTGAGTATCTGAAATTACCATGTTATTCAATTGGAAAGATTAAAACCAATTTTCCAGATGAGGTACAAACAATATTAATCAGACGAATTTTGCACAGTTGAATTATTTACTTATAAATTTTTTAGTGATGCTCTCAATATCTCAGACTGTATAGTGTCAAATAGGGGGATGATTAGTAAATGATGAAGTGGAAAGTATTTGCAAAGGAGCTGTCATGGCCTAATTTGAGGTACCATCCAAGAATTTGTGTGGAGGGTCTAAGAAAACCATGAAAAATGTCAACCATAAAAGCTGGTGTGCCAGATGAGATTAGAACCAAGCACCTCTTGAAAGGAAGTCAAAAATATTACCGTTTTAGCCGGCTAGTTCAGTCATTCAGTGTGAGGTGAAGGAGTCTTCTACTGACCTATGTTCGCAAAAGCTGCATTTGAATGGTTTGCTGTCCAGATGTCTGTACCAAATGTGCACACGAAGGGCTGATGAAGATGAGCAAGTCTTGCCACATTGGGGGCATTTGTAATGGTTCATATGACCACGTGCATGTTCCCGCAACAGTTTCTGAGATGGATAACACTTGGAGCAATGTGGACACTGGTGCCCATGCACTGTAACAAATCACACCACTGAATACTGTTGTCATGGCAAAAATATGTTATATGCTTCAAAACTTTAAAAACATACATCTTTTCTAAAACAGTCTTAAATTTCAACTTTGATTGCCAGGGGTATGTGTATCAATGTTTATAACTTACATTCCACAGGAGCCTGGCGCTTACAGTGGTCAGAGAACTTTGTTCTGCTTGCAAAGAGCCCACAACATGATGGACAACCCACAAGTTTCTCATGTGTATGTCTTCTAACGTGGTCTGCCAGTTTGCTAACTGAGTAAACCACGGACTTGCAACCTGCAGCACGAGAAAGTTTATGCTTTATTACTATAAAGAATTAATCTCTTTGCACACTTATTCAGCAATATCTAAATTTCTTTGTGAATATGACACTACAGTTTAGTTGTGTGATGTTTTTCTTTATTGCTAGTGGTGTGAGACTAAGTTCCTTGACTGCAGCAACTTCTGGCCTATTGTACCAGCCCCAGATGATAGGTGAGGGTGATTGTGGAGCAATTGGTGGAATGAAGATTGGCAGGGGAAACCGAAGTACTCGGAGAAACCCTGCCCCAGCGCCACTTTGTCCACCACAAATGCCACTTGACCAGACCTGGGATTGAACCCAGTCCGCTGCGGTGGGAAGCCAGCAACTAACGGCTTGAGCTGTGGCTTGGCCTGTGTGATGGTTATTTAATGATGTCTGATTAAACGGAGAAGTTGTTTGATATCAAATGAGATGAAAGAATAAATAGATATGACGAACACAAATATATGAAGGATTGTTGTACTTCAGCATGAAGTTCCATTAATATTATTAGGTTAGTACATGTATATTACAATCTCAAATTCAGTATTTATTCTTGTCTCATATATACCTCATTTACATCATGTTTCAGCTGCACATGGCTATCATGAGGTACATATCAGTTTTGTTAAAATTGTTTCACTGAACATGTTATTCTTTTCATGTGTGAATGTGATGTTAATTTTTAGATATAGTTTTATATGAACAATTCTTGAAAAGTTCATTAAAAGTCTGCTACAAATAAAGGAAGCAATCACTGTCTAGTTCAACTTACTCTCCCTGCATTTACTTGGGAGCAGAGAACAAGAACACAAGAAATTCCACTGAGATTAATGAGACTCAAAAATGGGCATATTTAAAAACAATGAAGGATGTTCTGTTCTTTCTCAGTGCCAAACAAAATGTTATTTTAATTAAACATATTCATATCTGGGTGGTTGGATGAGTATCTGTTTATACCAAAGAGCTACTTTACACTTCAGTGTAATCCTTGACCCTTAATCAGATATTTAATTGCTATAGGTATACTCCTAGAGTTTTCTCATTCTGTGCCTGAATGATATGTCAGTGGAAGACTTTCAAATTCAGTGCTGTATAGTGTTTGTTATATCCCAGTATTTTTCTGGTCTGTGTGACAGTTCTTGCATGTATTTCTTGTGCTTTAGAGAAGATGGCAGCATGTTATGGAAATGTCTGTCATGGTTTTCTGGCTGCAGTAACAATGCATGTTGATTGCTGGAGAACACAAAATGAATTTCAAGTCACCAGTGAGAGGGTTAAATCAGCTTAACATCAACACTGCATCATGTCTTTGTCCAGAAAAGTCACTTGTACTAAATTCACAGATGTAGAAATTGAATATATTTCATGGGGAGATTAATTACATAATGGCAGACTGCTAACCCAACAAAAGGATGCCATCAAATGTAAATAATAGTGAAGAAAGAGATGTAAGTGACCTCTGGTTTGCCACTGTCCCTGAGAATTGTATAATTTGTGGCTGCCATTAAAGAATTTCAAGCAACATAACTTGAAAAAGACATTCATACTGGCAGGATTTATGTTATATTTTAGCGTCCTGTTGCACTGATTTATGTCCATGATTTATTCTATCCATCTTACAGTGCATACATTTATTCACCTTACTCTTCTCTCTTGCACTACATGTTTCAGCACAAAAGTGCCATCTTCAGGTGCTTTTCGATGTACGTCAAACTACTTCATTGCATGCCCTGTTGTCTTTATACTAAAATATATATTCATCATATATATTGATAAATTTTAAATATTAAAAATATTAAAACTGTTCAGGATTTGTCATCCTTATGTCGTATCTCAATACGCGAGTCACACCTATCTTCTTCTATCGGAGTATTCTTCCTACTTTCGTGTGTGTATTGTGCTTTGTGTTGTGTCTTGCTCCTGTGACTGCGTGTGTTATACCGATTTTCTGTCAGTCCTTTATGACCACATTCTTTATGCTGCGCCTCATCCCTCTGCGGGCAGCGGCCAACTTCTTCTGGGATTTTCCATTGCCCTGGGTCCATTCCTTTGGCTGACTGTGGCGCCTTATGGCTATATGCTGGTCCCTGAACCATTTCTTCAGCACTCTGACAGTTTTCACGGTGGCTGCTTCTTTTGGGACCTCCTCATGTACCACCTCTAATTCTGTTTCTTTTGGATTCCCCTCCAAATCCATGGCCTCCATCTTTCCCAGACAGACCTCCATTTTCTCTAGCTGGGAGTGCATCTTGGCCATCACCCTTTCTTGGATTTTAACTTATTCAAGTAATTTCCTCTGTAATGATAACTAATATGACCAATTTATTTACAGCCTTCAAACACCTGCAGTTGTGAAGATGTAAATGTATGACTTGCAATCCTCCTGGCTAGGGCAATAGCCATGTGTGCAGAAAAGTGATGTCAAACTGACATAAATTATAGTGAGAATTCATGACACAGAAATGAGAACTCACCACGCCAGTGGCAAGGAATACCTCCATTCATATTTCTACAATGTGGTTTGCAATTGACATGTGTCGCAACATGATTGAAGTATGTCTGTGAGCTGTTGAATGTTTGGTCACAGGTGTTCCAGCAGCATTGAAATGCATGTGACAAGTCTGGTACCACATTTCTCCCAGTGTTGTGGAGTGTGCAAACCTGTAACACAAGATCACTTTCTGAGCTAATATGTTGTGCTTTACATTTATAGCAGCTCAGGGATATAACTGAAAGAATCCAGTAACATCTCCTCAAGAATTCTTTTACATGTTCTAGGTATGGACCTGGTGATCATAGGATCATTCATAGTGTCCATGGTTCAGTTCTGCAGGCAGATATGGCTGTGAATTGTTCTGTGTATTGATCAGAGCCAAACCTTGGACTTCATAGCCTGTACCAAGTGTACATCTGTCATGAGGGAAAGGCAAAATCTCTCTCAAGGATGCAGAGGACAAGAAGGCAAATAAGTCCAAAACTAAAAGTGTATGTCACAGACAAATCAACATTCTCTCAACACAGGCTCAATGCAGTATAAATGAGAATTTTGTTTTCTGAGTCTGAGCCAGTAGTAAGAATTATCACAAACAGTTTCTAATAAATGTATACAACATGTACATGCTGAATACTCATTACTTACTGGTAGCTTTGAACGAGCCAAAATATTTGATCCAATGCTCTTTAATTTGGTTTGATAGGAATGGAAATTGACATGTCTCATTAGCTCACTAGAATCTGCAGATTTGAAGTCACATGTCCCCCACAAGCAAGCATATCCATCTGAAACACATATTAATCTGTCTTCAGTTTCTCAAACCATACAAATTAAGTATTATAGTTATTAACAATGAAATGTTTCCACACATCCATAGTTCTGTTCTTTCTAAATTCCTTGTGGTCTGTCTGTTCCTACAAAGAGATTACAGTTCTTATGACAACTGCACTGCAACATACAGCGGAATACTGCAGCCCATCCAGGTGCACTTCACAAGAGTAGATCCAGTATATGATCCTGTTCTGAAACAGGCTCCCTCATCTTGGCATCAACCTGAGGCAAAAATGGAGTTTCATATGAAGAAATGGAAATATAAATCTTACCTAAAAAATATGTCACAAAAGCATTATCACTCTAAATAAATGAAACTAATGGAATACCTGTAACTTCAATGGATTTGCATACAATCTGGTTCATATTTTTCCTGGGACTTTTACTTTAAATAGCAAACACAGTAAAGACATTTCTCATTCTTTCCTTTGAAGCCTTTAACCATTTGCCCTCTTTGCATAAACTAGCAACAGCGATTGATGGAAAAAGCTGATTTCAGATAAATATGGAAAAATAAAATATTGGGCATAAATATCTTTATGCTCAGAAGGCAGGGCAAAGGTATTAAATGTAAGAAGATCCAAGCAGAACTCACTGAGTCTAATTCCCTACTCTGAGAGAACAGAGGATACCTCAAATAAAGTGTGTAGAGGGAAATTAATCCAGAGGATTAAGGAAACTTCATTGTTTTCTTCACCTAATATCTTTACAGTGATTCAATCAAAGATGTTAAGATAGGTGATGCCTGTAGAGCATACAGAGGAAGATTGCATACAAAATTCTGACTGAAAAACTTCACAAAAAGGCTGCTAAGGAGGACAGGACACAGATGGAAGTACTAAAGGGAAATATATGTGAAGGAACGATGATGTGATTATATGAACCAAATTGATTTAGATCAGGGCAGGGCTTCTGTGGTAACAAGGACTGTCCATATGCCAGCTCTCAATATTATGGAATCTGAACGTTTGTCACTGTAACATTAAAAACTACATTCCAAATCAGTTTCATCCAATCCACTAACAGTAACTTAATTTTGTTCTATTATTGTCCTCAAGTGATCCAAATTATTGTCATGATCTTGAGGTGTGTGACTGACTATAAATGGGGTTCTGATTGGTGAATAGATTTATTGACCATTTATACATATGACTTGTAAGTACAAGTAATTACAGCACTGTCGCTGATCTACACACTTTGCAAATCACTAGTGCACACGCTAAAGTCTTCTCAGTCTGTTTTCACTAGTCGTTTCCTGGTAATGGTTCTTAACAATGAAGATTCTTCAGCTTCTGTGGTCATGCCGTTGCCCACTGGCTGATACTCCACAACTGAACTGTCAGCTCAATTATACCACCATCTCTCCCTTGCGGAAATCAACTTAACTCATTGCACCAACTGTCCTGGTTATAACTTCTTGGCATGTACCACATAGAATTCAATGTCTCAGCAACGGGTGAAATTTGGTGACAGTCACCCAGCAATTGGTCTACATGATACTTTATTGTCAGGTGTGTAAGTACCCCAAACTCAACCTAGCTCATCTTCTAAGGTCATGGATTCCTTAAACAATCCCTTCAAGGCATTTCAACATCCATTCCCTAATATAAATATAACTCCAGTAACCACCAGTGAAATTAAAGACATAATTAAGTCTTTAAAATCAAAGAGTTCACATGGATATGACGAGATTCTGCCAAATATTTTAAAAAGAAGCCTACTGTTCATTCTGTCTCCATTAACTTATATATGAAATAAACTACTGAGCCTTGGTATTTTTCCAGACCACTTGAATTATACTCAAATTAATCCCAGCTACAAAAAGGGTGACAGGTCTGATATTGTTAATTATAGACCAATGTCTTTGATGACATCCTTTTCCAAGATTTTTGAGAAAGTCATTTTTAAGAGACTGCAAAATCATATCGATATAAATGAGATATTGGTGCAAGACCAACATGGTTTTCAACCAAAATCAACTACTGCTATGGCTACCCTTAACTTAATAAATAATCCTATTGGCACTTAATAACAAACTAGCTGTTGGACGATTATTTTGTGATTTAACCAAGGCGTTTGAGTTTGTCAGTCACAACATACTGCTTGCTAAATTGGAGTTTTATGGCATCAATAGTATAGCAGGGAAGTTGATTAGATATTACTTAACTAACAGATATCAAAGAACTTTAATAAATAATGATTACAGAAAGGGTGTTCCTGAATGGCCAAAGGTTAAACAGGGTGTTCCACAAGGTTCGATACTTGGGTCTTTGTTTTTTTCTGTTGTATATCAATGATCTACTTTATGTAGTAAATAAATCATCCATACCAATTTTGTATGTGGATGATACTAGTATACTGTGTTCAAATTCTAATTCCAGAGAACTCAAAACTACCTAGAAAGCGATTTTGCTATAAAATAAATGAGTGGTTCTCACACAATTCGCTAACGCTAAGTTTAAGTAAAATTAATTGTGTCTACTTTGCAACAAAATTGAATCTGTTAAAAAACTTAAATATAATATATAGTGATACTCTAATCCACAACATTTGTAATGTCAAATTTCTTGGACTAATCATTGATAGTACTTTGTCCTGGAAAGATCATATTAATCAATTAGTAATTAAGCTGAGTTCTGCTGTCTATGCCATCAGAACTTTATCTTCTGTTGTGTCCCAGGAGAGTCTACTGATGACCTATTATGCCTATGTACATTCCATTATGTCCTATGGAATTATATTTTGGGGAAATTCTACCAACAGAAATTTAATTTTTAAAATTAAAAAAGAACAGTTAGAATCATTATGAAAGCTAGAAAAACGGACTCTTGTCGTCCATTGTTTAGGTACCTAAATATTCTTCCATTTTACTCACAATATATATTTTCAATATCCATGTTTGTTGTTAAAAATATGGATACTTTCACACTAAATTCTGATATACATAGTATCCATACCAGACAAAGTTTGGATTTACATTATTCAACATATATATTAACTAAAGTCCAAAAAGGTGTCTCCTATTCCGGGATTATGATATTTAATAATTTACCACAGAATCTTAAGAACATGACAAATGATATTGATAAGTTTAAACATGCCTTAAAAAATTTCTTCATATTGGCTACTTTTACTCAATGTGGGAATATCTAGAGTGGAGAATAATGGAAAACCTTGCTTCTTACAAATAATTTATAATCTGATTGCTGATCTGATACAGTTTTTTGCGTGGTTGATGTAACCTTTTGTCTTGATTCTTATGCAGCTTGTCGTTTTGATAAGCATAATTTATATGTATTGTTTACCTGTAGAATTGTCTGTATATGTTTTTTGCTGATAGTATTGCGATATGGCAAGTCCTGTATCAATGTATTTTGATTTATGGGAAAATGAAATAAAGAAAGAAAGAAGTAAAGATAATCGGTCATAAGTGTGTAAATTTAAATGCATTTAATTCAGTTAATTTAGGTAATTTAAATGAAATTGTATTAATTTTAAGTTTTTAGAGTACTATTATTTTTAAATTATGTTTATTAATTATAACTGTAATAAGTTTTTATTTTATTATCTATGTTAATTGACTAATGTATGTGATTTTAATTATGTAACTCATGTAATTTATTATATGTATCTGGACACATCTATTATCAAAGGGACTATTTCCACATCCTAGGTTTTTTACCTGTATGGATATATGGAAAATAAAGGAAATGAATGAATGAATGAATGAATGAATTGAACTCTCTTACTGCCATGACCATACATGAAAGCCATAACAGAAATGTCATTGGAGTTCATAGAACTGACAGATCTTTACAATATAATGATGATTCCATCTTGTGACCACAAAAGATAATAAAATTTATTCCCTTTGCCCTAAGATATACAATGTATAATGCCATCTAGCAACAGAATTCCTAACTTACCTAAAAAACACCCTCTGAGCAGGAGGTTTTGTAGCAGAATAGTATGAGTGGTGAAGATTAATTGTAAAAGCCTAAATCTCTTCACCTGCTCTTCTGATTAAGCCACGGATACCACCCTCAGGTCCTCAATACTTTCACTGTTAAAACTGCCAAAGAATTAGCCTACCTGCTAGAAATGCAAAGGCCACTCGGGGGTAAATGCTATGGCACACCACACAGTACTACTTCAGATTACCTTAAAATGGCTACAAGTATAGATCCAAGAAAGTCCATCCTTTCCCCAAACATCTGTATACAACAACTGATTCCATATATTAAAGAAATGTGGTACTAAGTTATTAATATCAAGCCAATTTGACTGGGTGTGGCAATATTAATGCAACCTAATTGGTTCATGGCATGCAGTTGGCTAATATTTATTCTGTTATTTCCCATGCTTTCTCCTAATATTTTAACCCGGCATTATTAGTAAGGTGGGGTGTCAAAGACTCCAAAGATTTTAATTGACTATAACTTTTTAAGAACGTGTGGCAGTGAGTCGTGCCT